CTGAGAAAAAGATCAAAACGACCTCTCGCACGGTTACCAGTGTATTCACCAATTCATAAACGGGTTAAAAATCTTAAAAGTATAATTAAACGCCTTTATAACCGTTTCGAGAGGGAGGAGTTCACGTCCTAATTGTTCAGCAACTCAACTTTGCTACATTCACGGAAACGCATTTTTGTCAAGGCTCACTATATCCAGGGAATCCATGCATCTGAAATAAATAATAACTAACCCAATACCCGACAAGGACTGGTGACCGGACTTGAGGCCAGGGTTCTCCATATGATTAAGCCGGCTTTCCTCTCCCCCGGGATAAATATATAAAATCCTATCCTATTCTCTGGTATAATTAAATATTGCTGTCGTGCCATGTAGCAGGGGCATGATTGTTACGTGACAGTGATAATATATACAAAGATAACAATAGGCTATATATTCACTTTCATAAGCGAAAGACAAAGAACTATTTCAGTATAAAAAGCTAGACAAACGAGGCGCGAACTTTCCTTCGCAATTTGCGCCGAGAGAGTGCAACGACACTTCGAAAAAATAATTTATGTGATCTGTACAAATAACTTGAGGAAAGATTTCAGTTTAAATTTCATTTGAATCTATTAAACTTTGAACAACGTCTTTTTGAAATGACATTGACTAAAATTAACGAAGTACGCGCACCAAGATGGCGCACAACCTGAACATAATATGTGTACCAGGTTAGGGTTCAGATTGTGCGCCATCTTGGTGCACATACTTCGGGAGCACCAAATTAACTCTAATCATCTGTTGTCGGTTTCACTATGCTTCTCAGCTTCCATTTTTAGGGTCATTTTCAAATTTATGGGATGGTAGATATTTTGCTGTTAGCGATGAAACTATTTATAACTTATAAAATATATTATGTATTTGACTGACCATCTGCACTAGTATAATATATGCCATGTTCTGAATATTCAAATACTATTATATTCAATTTTTAATTAATTTGAATTCTAGAGGGGAGTGGGTATTAAAATCACTGGCTTAGCTTACCCAAAGCCAGAAATATATTGCGACGATCTCTGGATAAGATAACCAAACGTGAGTAATAGCATGAATGGACAACCAACGAACTACAGTTTTTTCTTACAAGATTCGATTTTAAAGTTGTGTAAATCGCGGAATTTTTGCCGTAGTTTTATCATAAACATGCCTACATTTAAAATTTGGAATGCAAGATTTCCGTGATGTCACGTAGCAACTGAACCCGATTCAATTCTCGATGATTTACACTAAGTAAAAAAAAAGTATTACGTCACTACGAAACAAATTTCGAAATTTCTTTGTTTTACGTCGTCAACATGATTTGAAAATCGTTATGTTACCTACAGGTTTGGTTGTCGTTATTCCGCGCCAAAAAACTAATTTACGAGCGGCCATATTTGAAAGAGGGATGAGCTCACCAATTTCTCATCGACAGCCAATGAAAATGCCGCATTTTTATGACGCACAAGTGGTGTTGTCGGGCATACGGACCAAATCAAGCACTTTTTACGGTCCTATATTTTTCAAGACCCATCACCGGCTGGGACTCCACCGGGTTTCTCTACGAGCTATTTCGAGCTAAAATATTAACCCGTTGCCAACGATTGTCTGCAGAACATCTGTGCTGCAATTAGCAAGCATTTTTCAAAAACCTTTTGTACAGGCCGTGCTTTAGATATTACGGATAGTTCATATTTATGGCGGGAAAAGTAAAGCCGACAAAAGGGTTAACGGCCTCTCGCTCGGTTACCAGCTGAGGAATAAGTGTTCCTCTAAGTCCAAAACTGTGTAACTAATCTCTTATTACTTATCGATCTTAAGATCGGTAAATATGTTGAAAGGTATTTGTCTGTTTGTTTGTTTGTCTGTCTGTTTGTTAGATACACGCGATATCTCACGAAAGCGAGGTTGAATCTGCTCCAAATTTTGCATGTGCATTTATCATATTTCGGATCAAAAGCCCTATGGATTTTAGATGAATTATGTCGTATAATCAGCGAGTTATTGGTTAATTAGTGATGAAACACACGGTGTCGCTATGGTGTAAGAGCGCTGTTGTGGGGGATCCCCTAACTTCGATCGACAAGTCTTCGGTCTCCGACCGATATTCTCGGTTACATACTTCGGTAGTTTGGTTCATCTTCGCACAAGTTGGGCGTGACTCCGCGTGAGCCGCGTCACTCAGTTAAATTTAAATATATTTTGAACGACGATAGACCTCCTACGGTGCCTCGTGTGTACAATTACCGTAAATTCAGGGTGGTCACGAGAAAAGCAGAAAATTTGAAGGTCAGATGAAATTACGAGTAAAATGCCATGAGTAGTCATTTCTTTTTCGAATTCTTCTTATTTTTTTTAGGTTGATACCTTGAAGTTCTATTTGATTTTTATATATGTTTCGTTATTTTTATATAATTTGTTATATAAAATAGGATTTCGAAATTCGAGGGCTTTAACTTACAGCGCGAATCTTGAACAGAACTGGTTTTAAAAAATTAGAGAAACATATATTTTTAAATTCTTTCACCTATTAATTCAAATACTTTAGTGATTATCAATTGGAACTTTGATTGTAAAACTAGTGAAACCCTCGAATTATCGAATTTGTTCCGTTCTGAAGCCGGAACAAAACGCATGAAACAGATAAAAAATTACAGTGAGGCAAATTTTGATTAACCTTTAAAACGCGTCGGAAAATTTTAGTTAATTTGCGCTTCTGCTAAATAGCAATGACGCTAGTTACTTATCGATCTTAAGATCGGTAAGTATATTGATAGGTATTTGTATGTATGTCTGTGTGTGTGTGTGTGTGTGTGTCTGTTAGATCAACGCGATATCTCACGAATGCGTGGTTGAATCTGCTCCAAATTTTGCATGTGCATGCACCTTACCTCGGACCAGACGCCTATCGATTTTGGGTTAATTATGTCGTATAATTAGCGAGTTATTAACTAATTACCGATCTAAGATCGATAAGTCTTCGGTCTCCGACCGATATTCTCGTTTTGTTATTGGTATATGAATCCGTTACTGTCGTCGTATTATCAAATAGTTGAATTTATAGACTTAGATATCTAATTTATTTTTAATTGGAAGCTAAATTCAGGTTTTTTGAAATCTTGAAGTATAATAGTAAGTCAAAGTTCTTACACGGTCGGATCACAATTATTATATTTTAAGGAAACGATGATAAAAATGCGGAATTGAACTACCGTATATAAAGTTCGTATGACGAGGCGCGAACCTTTTTGTCGCAATATTTGCGCCGAGAGAGCGCCACTGAATGTAGCAAAAAAACAAGGGCTCCTAAACTTCTAACAACTTTCTTTTTCAGGTGACATTAACTAAGAAATTATCTCTAATCATCTGTTGTCGGTTTCACTATGCTTCTCAGCTTCCATTTTTATGGTCATTTTAATATTTATGGGATTGTAGATATTTTCCCGTTAGCGATGAAACTATTTGTAACTTATAAAAATGTGTCATATATTTGAATGATCATATGCACAGGTATATGCGACGCATTCTAGATATTCAAATATAATTATACAATTAAATAGGAAATTAAATTGCAAATTTTTTAAATCACTGACTTGGCTGACATGAAGCCAGAAATTTTTTTAAACGATCTCTGGACAAGCTAGCCAAGCGTGATTAATAAAATGAATGTATAATCAAAGAGCTTTCTTGAAGCATGCCTAAAATTAAAAGTTATTATGCAAGATTTCCCGTAATGTCACGTAGCAACTGAACCCAGTTCAATTCGGGATGATTTACAATAATTTAAAAAAGTATCACGTGACTACGAAACAAATTTCGAAATTTCTTTGTTTTACGTCGTCAACATCATTTGAATACCGTTATGTTGCCTACACGTTTGGTTCTCGTTATTCCGCGCTAAAAAACTCTTCTACGAGCGGCCATTTCTGACAGAGGGATGAGCTCGCGAATTTTGTGCCCGTAGCCAATGAAAATGCCGTCTTTTTATGACTTACAAGTGGTGTTGTCGGGCATACGGACCAAATCAAGCGCTTTTTACGGTCCTGTGTTTTTCAAGACCTATCACCGGCTGGGACTCCACCCGGTTTCTCTAAGAGCTATTTCGAGCTAAAATATTAACCCGTTGCCAACGATTGGCTGCAGAATATCTGTGCTGCATCTCCGCACAGGTTGGGCGTGAGCCGCGTAACGCAGTTAAATTGAAATATATTTTGAACGACGATAGACCTCATACGCCGCTTCGTGTGTACAATTACCGAAAATACAGGGTAGTCACGAGAAAAGCAGAAAATTTGAAGGTCAGATGAGATTACGAGTAAAATGCCATTAGTAGTCATTTCTTTTTCGAATTCTTCTTATTTTTTTAGGTTAATACCTTGAAGTTCTATTCGATTTTTATATATGCCCCCCCCCCTCCCCCCATCAAATATTGGGATGGCCAAGCTCTTGAATATCCTATCATTTTCTTTAACAAGGAAAGGTCACTGCCCTGTTACCTCCCTATCAATGATTTTCTGATTTGTCATTTCTTTCTAAATTTCTGTTTATTCTGAGTCTATTTTGTTCAATCCTGCATTTTTAGAATCGTTTTCTTACAATATAATAATAATTATAATGTAAATATTTTTTTGTATAATGATGTAATACAACCAGATAAAAGCAGCCAATGATATCTATCAATATCTAAGAGAATCTCTCTGCAGACTTATTTCGTTGTTGAAGGTATATAAACGCCCATTTTATCTATCTTGATTGGTTTATCTTATGAAAGAATTATTGAACTCCAGTTTCCAGTAAATCGTTCAAGAATAGAATATTCATATCTCATTGCAAATATAGAAAAACTGCAAAAAAAAACATAAATTTTATGGGGGATGAGGGACGCTAGCCATGCCCTCCCCCCCCCCCCCCCTGTCTATGCCTACGAGAAGGTCGCTAGCCTAAATACAACTAGAATTAATCCACTATTCTGTTTCAGTTTATCTAGCTAAATTTAAAACAAATTTTTTGTGCCTTATCAATGTCTACTCAAGATAAAGGAAACAAAGATTGTTCAAACTCAAATCCAGATGGGGATCTAAATACAGCACAGCCTGTTTCTGATGACGAATCATCTGGCGATAATACAAATGGGAGTGTGTTCAACTTATGCTCCCACTATAGAATTCCACAGGATGGTTTTACATTGAGGGGTTCATCATCGTCTACCCGCCTAGGTCGATTTTCACGTACAAGGGTATTTTCGCCAAACTCGCGAGAGAATAGAAATCTTCAGTCCACAGGTAAATTTGCACGAAAATATTGTTCATAATAACCTCATTTTGGAATCTTTCTTTATGAAAATCTAAATCGGTGACACGTTTTTTATATAAATGAGGACTCACAACCTCCTTGATCAAACATACCTAAAAGTATGCATAGCGTATGTCAGGGGTGTACAACTTTTAATACATGAGGGCCAGATACAAATAACTGGGTTAAACCGCGGGCCGTACCTTTATTTAACATAGGCTTTCTAGTAGTTGCAGGCACAAATATTTTGGTTATTGTCTAATGACATGAGGGATCGGAGTTACTCGCACGTACCACAATAAAGTAAATTAAATGGTGGTTTGGAGGGCCGCACACCATTCACTTCTCGGCTGGCCTCACAATTTTTCCTTGTGAGCCGCATTTGGCCCGCGGGCTGCAAGATGCACACACCTGGCGTATGTGATGGAGTTTGTAGTATACTTCAAGACTTTGTCGTTCAAATAAGGCCTTTTACCAGTCCTTATTGATATTATTTGAATAAATATGTTTCACTGCCTTGTCTAAATTAGGCCTAGTTGGTTTGGATAACACTAAGTACAGCTTCTGGGCTAACTCTTTTTTAATTTGAGCTACGATTGTGCCGCTTTTGTATCGTTCAAGCGAATTATGGTCATGGGCCTACCCAGGGGGTGGTTTTGGCGGTCGAAACCCCCTCTTGAAACGTAAAAAAGGGAATTTGTCTGTGTCATACATAGCAATTTTTCGTAGCTTCAAACGCTCTTATTCCCTCAAGACTCGGCCAGCGATTACGGACTAACTTGGGAACCCCTTAAAATATTCCTGACTATGCTCCTGTTTATAATTTTATATATTTACTGCAGGGCATGTTATGGTCCATCATAGTGGATCATCAAAGGATATGGAAAAATCTGTCCCTAGCCAACGGTCAGATTCGTTGCCGGGTGGAAGTTCTGAAGATGATTTACCTTTACATGGTATGTGAATTTTACATTCAATGCGAAGGCATTGTTCTGCATATTAAATTTCCAAATTTTCATTTAAGGGCCAGTCTGAGTAGAGAGTTATATAAAAATATGCTATATAAAAAGTTAAAAGTAGGGATGGATAAAATTACAGGGTGTCCAGAAAGAAAAAAAAATTCTAAATTTAAAAAGAATTTATTGATACCATATATTGTATTGGCTCGCACAGATGTATTAAATGAAATAAAAATACAATTACTGATTAAAAAACAACAAACCTGGTTAAGATATACAGTATTAGGAACTGACTTCATAACAAAATTGAAATTGTAAAGGGATTTTATGGACACCCTGTATTATATTCATATCACAGGCTGATTGTAATTTAATTGGCTTCCTCTGTCGAGAGTAATAGTTTGTGTGGTTACAAAATAGACCTACTTTCAGTAGCTCATGGAATTTCAGTAAAAAATTGGCGCTCCCGAAGTATTGAATCAAGATGGTGCAAAGCCTGAACCCTAACCTGGTACACATACTATGTTCAGGTTGTGCGCCATCTTGGTTCACATACTTCGGGAGCTCCCGAAAATTTGCCCCGAAATGAGTCTTTCTTACTTTGATTGAGCGTACCAAAAAATCGGCCTCAAGCTTATGTTTATTTGTTAAGATGCCAAAAATCATCATGAGGATGCGAAAAATGAATCATCCTTGACTGACAGGGTTTTATTAAGACAGGAAAATGAAAATTCAGTTCAAGAGAATGAAAATAAATTGATGAAGGCGACTGGTAATTGTGAAGACAATGCGTTCAATTCAGACCAGAAAAAAAATCCAGGTATATTCAAGGAATTTTTTTTTATTGAAAGGAGAAAACCTAACCTGTAAAACACAAAGGTAACCTTGGATCATTCATTTTTTGCTTATTCTTAGACCAGGGTTGTGCAACCTTCAATACTGTAGGGCCAGATACAAATAACTGGGTGAAACCACAGGCCACACCTTCATTTAACATAGGCTTTGTAGTAGTTTCAGGGACAAAAATTTTGATTATTGATATTATGAAAGGGATGGCCAATTCGAATAAAGTATTCGAATGTATTCGAATATCTCGTTATTCGAATATCGGAATTAGCGTTCATAAGAATACCGGATATTTGTGTGACGTCACACATTTTCGACGCCGCTCTCAAGACGATTCCTTTGAATGAAAACATTCTCGATAGAAACTTGCGCATGATTGTTTTCATCACTCATCAGCGTAACATGTTATTTGGGCCGTAAATGCCTTTACGTTTGTGTTATTTTCTCTAAAACGAAAATTTTTCACAAATTTGTTCCACGATAACGATGACAATTACTTTATTTTTGCACGCGCACGGAATTGTGAATCTGGTTAATACGTTCATCGGCGGCGAGTTTCTAAAGACAACGCAACTTTTTGATTGAAAAGCGGCAATTTAAAATACTGAAACTAAAACCGTAAACAAAATAAGTTTTATTGAGGCCAGCGAAAATTTAAAGAACACTTTTCTAGGCAGTGAAAATCGCAGAATTTCGTGTGCCTCTGGCACACATTATGTTTGGTCGGCGTTTAGAAACATATCGTCACGAATTGAGGGCGGGATTTGCCTGATTATCTATTACTTTAAATTGCCGTCGAATATTTTCAAAGTATATTCAATCAATTTTATTTTGGTGAAATAAATTTCACTCTGAGATGTTACAGAAGATTTATGGATTTTTCGAACGGTTTTATCTAAAAATAATCAGAGTGGCAGCATTTCGATTGAGCGGAGACACTGTTGACAAGTACTTCTAAATATTTGCCGAATTCGCAAAATACGGATCAAAACATTATTTCATAGGTTCTCAAAGTGCTCCGTACGGAGGCCCAGGGCTCCGTGAGAGAAACCCAGGGGCTCCGCGAGCTATTCGATTACTTTTCAAAATACTGACTAATTTTGTAACTGTTCAAAGAAGCAATAACAGCTTTGATAAAATCTGACAACAATATAGCCTCAAAATATGGCAAAGAGGCGGAATTATGACATTATTTATAAGCAGGAGCACAGCCAGGATTCTTAAGAGGAAGGTGGTTCAAAATTGGAATTGGAAATTTCCGCGCAACATTCACGATTGAAAAAAAACGGATAACGAGATTTCTGTTGCGTAAAATATTAAATCCATGACCGACGCGAGCATTTAACGTGTGTCGTCGTTATAATGTAATTGTGCTCATCGTTTCTCACGTTTGATTCGAGATTACTATTAGGATTACTAAAATGAAAGAATACTATTCTAAAGTAACATAAAATACGTGATGAACTGCCAACTATAAATAAATTAGAGTAGTATTTTTGCGATCTCGGGATTTGTCAAACTTGATTTGTTCTTTCGCACTTGAGATTATTTTTAAGCAAGATATCACCTTTTAAAAAATCACAAAGTCTGGGCAAAATACGAACAATTGAAATTTATTTTATTGCATTCGGTTTCGTCGGTAGTTTCAGAATGAAAAAAAAGGTACATCGCGGATCGCGCGCACAATTGATTGCGTGCAGCTCCGTCGGTAGTTTCAAAATGGGAAAGAAGGTACATCGCGCGCACAGTTGACAGTGTTTCGATTTGCAGTTACTACGATGAAAACCTAACATAACACCAAATTTTGTGATTTACAATGTCTATAAAAGCGTTTTCAATCTGAGATGAGTCTGCTGAAACCAAACGTGTGATCTTCCATTTTAAGTTTTAATATTTTAGAATGCCTATTTTCAATCGAGAAATTTGAGTTGCGGATTTACCTCTTTACTAAATATTATTTTTAGCATTTCGTCGTCGATGACTCTAAAATGTTAACATATATTTTTTTACATTGAACTCTTAATTCCCCACGAGAACAACATAAAAGCAATTAACGTCGTCATTGTATAACAATGCATGTGTATGCCGAGGGAAATTTTTGATTTAGGGAGAATAAACACCGGCGTAATGATGTTTGAAAGTTCAAAAACACGCCATGCTGAGGAAAAAAGTCGGCGATTGTAACAAAATGCAATCGCGCACAAGTACTTTTACCTTGCTCAGGAACATTAATCTGAAAGTAACAATTTTAACATTTATTTTGGGGCTCCGTGAATAATAGTCAACATTTTCAAGGACTCCGCAACACCAAAAGTTTGAGAACCCCTGCATTATTTAATCGGGCAGTTTACCACACGTTTTTATTTTTATGACCGCGGATTGCAATGGTAAATAAGAGTGGTGAGGATTTAATTTTGTCGACGCAACCGCAGGTTAAATTGAAGACAATTAAATTAATAAAGCAAGACATTTTCAAATATGCCCCTATCGGTCACGAATTCATCACTTTGCACAACAGAAAAATATATATTCGTTTTATATTATTTGTTGTAAAAGTCGACTCTTTTAACAGGTGGCATAATCGCGGCGATGAATATGTATTTTTAATTTACTACTAAACTTTATATGTATATTCATCGTATGAAATGAATTATACTCTACACTTAACAGGATTTCATATCATTATTCGAGATTCTTCTAATGGCGATAACGAGTTGGCAAGATTGCAAAAAATACGTATTAACATTAAATACATCAGGTAGTTTATCTCGTACTTTTAGGTCACAGATCGCCGTGGACCGAATAGTAATGTTTTTTTTTTGACGTAAGAAGAAGAAACCGCGAGTTACGTTGGACACATTAAATTAATATATAAAGTATTTTAGAATCTCGTAGTTGTCATGGATTGAATATTTTACGTAACAGGATGATCATTATACTCTGAAAAGACGGCTCTTTTAACGATCGCGGAATCGCGGTGGGTGTTACAGGCGGCAATGGGAATTTCCGATTTCGAAATTCCTGGCTGCGCAGCTGGCAGCGGTGGTCATCTATCCTCTACGGATTTATTTCTAATTTCAAACACAACAATATGTTACACATAAAAACAATATGGTTCACATAAATCAATATACAAATATACTGGTAGGTAGATACTCTATGCTTAAATATTAGAATTTTTAAAAGCAAAATGGATTTTCGATTGTTGTTGCCTGTTTCAGATGCCTGTATTGCCAATAAATTTTATTACTCTCAGAAAATATACACAATTATCTGAATACAAGTAGTATTTTTGTCAATAGACTTGACTATTATCGTAATGTCATGGTACCAATGATAGAAAGCGCCAGACAACTCTTTGGCTATCATTTCATATGGTCATTTGTACAAAGTGAATAATTTTAATAAACTGACTGTGTCACAAGTTGCTATTATTTTTTATTGATAGCTATAAACTATCAATTACATTGTGTACATATATTGTTGGTTTGTGGCTTTATTCTGATATTTTTATTGAAGCTTATTTCCTAATTTACTGGGTTTTAATAAACTAAGCAAAAATGTGTTATTTTCGATTTTAGAATGTATTCGGAATAGTTTAGTATTCGGAAATGGCCATCCCTGTAATGAAGTGTAATGTTAGCTTCACAAAAGCTAGCTGTTATGGCATTGTAAAGTCATATGCATATATAATAAATTGGACTCGATCCGTGCATAGTATAGTTAGCACAGTTTATCCATTATTCCATATTGTAAAAATTTGCAATTTAGTGAATTTAGGCGATTATAACCTTCCCAGTTTCTAGAGCACAGAACAAGGGTCTGCAAAATTTCTGACATGACACGCTCATAAATACAACAATTTTTCTATTAAGAAAATGTTGCTGAACAACTTGAATCGGGTCGAATGGCAAATACAGAGGTGAAAACTAGAATAGAGATTCCTGCTCGTGAGAATGAAAGGCTTCCAAATAGGTAAAACATCTTATATTTAGTTTGTATCATAGAGGCTAAATAAAATTTAATATATCTCTCACTTCATTATTTTCTGACTATCGCTACGAATTCAGGATTTTTGCCGGATATACCAGGGGTGGGCAATGTATTTGGAACAGGGGCCGAAAATTTGGGGCTCCGGAAGTACCAAGATGACGAACAACCTGAACCCTAACATGGCACACATACTATGTTCAGCTTGTGCGCCATCTTGGTACAAATACTTCGGGAGCACCAAAAATTTTGTCCACTTAGAGTGGCAGGCCATGTAATTGTGACGTAAAACTTTACTTTTCATGGACAATATTTACAGTGTTACTAAAGCAAAAGTGGAAAACAATAAACCTTGTGACAAAACTAAATTTAATTGCAATCTCAACAAATTCCTCGAGCTATTTTTTAGCTAAAACATCAAAATTTAGTTTTAGTATGGTTTAGTATGGAATTACTCAACGGGCCGGATTTGGCCTGCGGGCCATCATTTGCCCATGTCAGAGATACACATTATGATAACTATGATACTCGATTTATGCCCAGCACTTACCGAAAAGATTCTGGCACTCTCAAAAAATACGACAGTTCTTTACATAACAGTAGTTGTTTGTGCAGAGCCCTTTTCAGAGCCAAATGCATAATTAGCGGTCCTAGTCATACACTTTTTCGGATGCTCCCATAGTATGTGTACCAGGTTAGGGTTAAGCTATAATTTTATTTCGATTTTCCTTATTTTAGTTCTATTACGAGTTCAGGGACTGTCTGTGTTTCAGTCCCATTACACAACACCTTTTTGTGCTTAGTTTCTATCTATTTAATATGTGATAACCTGTGTAGGTTGGAACCTGTGGACTTGCTCCCAAGTTCAGAAACATTTTACATTTCTGGTGGAAAGGCAGAGGGACGTTTAGAAATGCGAGACACTCAAAGGCGTGGATCTAAAGTATTTGTTATTAAAGACAAAGGTTTGTTGAATTCAATTTTAGCTGGTGACAGGTAGACAATCTCTGTCCTGTTAAACCAGACTATAATAATAGAAATGTCTTGATAATTGCAAAGATGATCAAAACTCTCAAATTTTTGTTTTGGATCAACAGTTTAGGATAGGATTTACATATTTATCCCGGGGGAGAGGAAAGCCGGTAAGGCAACTTAACCATATGGTGAACCACGGCCTCTCGTCTGGTAACCATTCCATGTCGGGTATGGGATTAGTTAGTTATTTGTTTTCGGCAGCATGGACTTGATGGTGGCGGAAGCCGTAATCGACCAGCAGTTACATGAACCACCCTATGGCGGCGAGGAGCCCAGCAATCCTTTGCATGTAACTATCCCTGCATGAGATTCGAAACTGCAAACCCACATAGAGTAATCAGGGGTGCAGTGGCGAGCTCATTCCTAACACTTAACTCGACCGCCACACCGCCGAGCAAACATATGTCTATATATTCGAGTTTTGCTCTCTTATTTTAGAGAGCAGAGTTGAAGACAGCCTGGACAGATTGCCAGCGAATGAAGGTTCGTGTGATGAACCTCCCAGAAGCAAGGTATTTTGTGCAGGTTGGTATTTAATGTTTCGTAGAAGTATATGAACTTTGTGTCGCAATTCAAGCCCCAGGTCATCCCAGTTGAGTTAATTTTCATTTTTTTAGGTCACGAAAATACAGACGTTACAGCTAGCAAGTCGTTCTATAGCTCAAATCTTGCGGTGATGACTGTAACAGTGGCTACAAGTGAACAAGATGAGAGAATAAATGAACGAGGTGGTTTTTTTTGCATTTTATGAGGCTAAATTAGTCTTGGAATGGTTGTTTGGCAATGAAAGATAGGATAGGAATTTCATATTTATCCAGGTTAAGAGGAAAGACAATAAGACGGCTTAATCATCATGTCAAATCATAGCCTCTCATTCGGTTGTCAGTCGGTCCTTTACCTGGGGGTCTGGAGTCAATTGTGATTTGTTACCAAATGATATTTTTATACAGCACTTACATGTGCCTGTTTGCTATGATTAAATCCCTGTAAGAGCAGTCACTGATATCTAAGAATACTACTTTCCTAAGAGCTACTTTCCTATTTTGGATTTTGGCGATTTCATGGTCAACCGATGTCATTGTCTATACTGGTATGTAGGGCTGTCCAAATTCGAATAATTTTTTGATTCGGATCGAATCGAATATTTTTGCCGAATCGAACCGAATAATCGAATATTGTTGCGCAATCCTGAATCTGTCTCTATTATACAATAACCGCCTACCCTTCAATGTTATGGTAACATATGTGCAGTTACATCTTACTTACTGCTGGTATTTTGCAATACAATGATTTCAGATGAAAGGTGATCAAACGCTTGCATGAACTGGTCAAAAAAAAATGGGGGGCTCCAAAATTTGGGTCTCAAACTGTTGAGTGTTAAGAGTAAAAATTGCACAATTCAAAAATTGCAATCTCAATTCTAATGGATTCAGTTTTAATAGGACATGTAAAGCCTGTAAATGCTATTCTAATCCTATTCACTAGTCTCATGTTTTTTTGTGTAATTTTCAGCAAAATAATAACAACCATTAATATAGATAAAACCGTTGCTCAAATTCAAAATTGCATTTAACAAATTCAAAGCTAGTTTGATGACTATAATATGCAATCAAAATTCAAGAGTGCAATTATTTGTCTTGGTATATAGATGGATAATACAGTGTTGCCATCATAAAAAATTACATATTCCATTGAAAGAAGGTATTGCCATCATAAGGATCCCAAAACACCTGTTTCAGCTTTGAGTTGCCTGTGCCATGTTCTTATGATAACTAACTCAACAGCTTCAAATCGATTCTATTTATAGAACTATCGTTTTCTAATTTGCCCTTTTTCCTCCTTGTGTACTCTCTCAAAAACGTCATTACAGATTATAACTCTTAAGTTATTATGACCATGCATGAAATGGTGTACTCTCTTAAAAACGTCATTACCGATTTTAACTTTTAAGTTATGATGACCATGCATGAAATGGCTGATCACGTGCCACCGGGTGGGCATTAGGAATAACATGTTTATCACAAAATCAAGGCGAGAGAAATATCGGGAAACCAATTAAGCCGGGAGCGAGAGTGGTCTAAGCTCGAAGCGCCGTCACTTGTACGATGAAAAACGTCCTGCAAAGGTGGTTTCCGCTTTTTGTGCCTAATTTTAGTGATTCGGAGATTAGCCGAAAAACGATTCGAATAATTTGCGATTCGATTCGATTTCGAATATTTGGTTCGCTTGGACAGCCCTACTGGTATGTCCAGGGTGACCCCTAAAAACCCAGGTCATTCAAGATGTATTTTAGAGCGCAGCATAACTTTTGTGCGAATCGTCCTAGATTACTGAAACTTTTGGGTGCAATCATACACAAACAGAAACTCAAGTTTTCTTTATTTTTGTAGAAGTAATTAGAAAATTTATGAATTGTGTTTTTTGGGTTACCGCACATTTCTCTGTTTTTCTAACTCATAAGTATTTGTTTTTATTTACCCAATTCAGATGTCTGTTGTCGAAAAAATCGTGCTTCAGAGACAGCCAATGAAAATGAAGTGATTTGCCCAGATGTCAACAATAGAAATGCACGCTATCGAGGATTAATTCCACCAAAACTCAAAACAGGTTCGTAAACATATTTTGAAGACTGATTCTTTGATTTGCACATCTTAATTTTTAGCAAAGCCTGTACAACATCTCTACTTAGCTTAATGGTAGTATAAGGTCATTAGGGCTGTCCAAAATCGAATAATTTTTTGATTCGAATCGAATATTTTCGCCGAATCGAACCGAATAATCGAATATTATCGCGCAATAGTAAATCTGTCTCTATTATACAATAAACGCCTGCCCTTCGATGTTGTGGTAACGTATGTGCAGTTACATCAAAGGAGATCACACGCTTGTATGAACTGGTCAAAAAAATTGGAGAACTCCAAAATTTGGGTCTCGAAAACTGTTGAGTGTTAAGAGTAAAAATTGCACTATTCAAAAATTGCAATCTCAATTTTGATGGATTCAGTTTTAATAGGACATATAAAGCCTGTAGATGCTATTTTAATCCTATTTACTAGTCTTTATGTTTTTTTGTGTAAATTTCAGCAAAATAATAACAACCATCAATATAGATAAAACTGTTGCTCAAGTTCAAAATTGCATTTAAAAATTCCAAGCTAGTTTGATGACAATATTATTTGAGGACTATAATATTGTTAGTGTACAACAGCCATCAAAATGCAAGAGTGCAATTAATTGTCTTGGTATATAGATGGATAATACAGTAATGCCATCATGAGAAATTACAAATTCCATTTAAAGGAGGTATTGCCATCATAAGGATCCCAAAACACCTGTTTCAGCTTTGAGTTGCCTGTACCATGTTCCTATGATAACTAACTCAACAGCTTCAAATCGATTTTATTTATAGAACTATCGTTTTCTAAATTGTCTCCTTTTTCTCTCTCAAAAACGTCACGATCGACTATACCTTGTTATGATGACCACGCATGAAATGGCTAATCACGTGCCACCGGGCGGGCATTAGTAATGACATGTTTATCACAAAATGAAGGCGAGAGAAATATCGGGAAACCAATTAAGCAAGCCGGGAGCGAGAGTGGTCTGAGCTCGGAGCGCCGCCGCTTGCCCGATGAAAAACATCCCGTAAAGGTGGTTTCCGCTTTATGTACCGGTACCTAATTTTAGTGATTCGAAAATTAGCCGAAAAACGATTCGAATAATTTGCGATTCGATTTCGAATATTTGGTTCGCTTGGACAGCCCTAAAGGTCATATTCAGATTCTCGAATAATGCATTTTCAATTTGGAGAGTAATCGGATTAAGTGTATTGCTGTTTTCTGACCGCTTACTACTTTAGATAAGTATGTGGCCAATAGTGGCCATTGTCATACAGATGCGTGAAGGAGACAGTAGTAGAAAGATATATGTCTTTGTTATTCTCCAATATAAATTGAAAAAAAGTATCCAATCGCTTTATTACCTTGGAAATTCTTTTATCTTTTCATCCACTTCTAGGCAGCGTGATAGTTTCAACAATCCTTCCTGCTGACATGATCAAAAATGCTTATCCCATTGAAGAAATTCCAGATTTGGATCAGAATACTGTTTGCAAATTTGAAAAATTTGATTTCACAAAATAAATTTTGCAGCTGGCTTTGGAAACTTTCCAATTTTCATTTCATTGGGTTTTCATTTAACATTTTTTGTTTTGTGTGTCTTCAACATCAAAATCTAGATCACCCCTCCTCCCCACTCAGGGGTGAATTTGATAAGTATATCTATAATACATGAATAATCTGATCAGTATGGCTATTGAGCTTGTAAACAGTTGTAATGTCCTCTGTTGCGTAATAAATCTTATTATCCTCACATTACAGGAAAAACGATGTTTGTTACTATTAAGTATTTACATATTTGTCCTGGAGGAGTGAAAAGTCGATAAGACTTAAACATATGGCAAACCACGTCCAGTTAGCATTCCATGGGATAAGTTTGTTATTTGTTTCGGACATCAGTGCTGGCTTCTAAAGTTTCCAAATGTTCAGGCCCAAATGTTTTTGTATTTGTACCAGGTGAAGAAGCCACGATTGAAACTGAACCGAAGCCTCCAGATTCTCAAGATCTTGATACCGGTCCTGATCAATATGATGCTGAAATACCTACAAACAAAGACAGGTTTGAATGTGAATTTTATATCTCGCCTTTTATTTCAAGAACTAGCTTCAAACATTTGGAATACTGTATTCCATAAATTTTGATTGATATACCGTAGGTTTCACAGAAAAACCGAAGGGACTTCAATTCAATTTCTGAAAGCTGTACAATTATATACCATACTCATGTAGTATGTGTACAAGGTTGGAGTTAGGCAACATTTTATTCCGATTTTCCTTATTTTGGTTCTATTATGAGTTCGGGGACTGTCTGTGTTAACTAAGTGAATATCCCGCTGCCCATAGGTTTCAGTCCCATTACACAACTAGATAGATAGATAATGATTTATTTCCGATACAAGTACATAATACAATAAGCATGAGCAAATAACAATAAGCATAAAAATGTATACGGAAGGGGACGGGCAAGACTTCCAAGGTCAACAAGGTCGACCGACCCCTAAGGTAAGATTCTACCAAGACAGGACACTCTAAAGCAGGCATCATAATTACAATAGAAGAAATATAAATTTTTGAGTTTTAAGCCCGGTTAAGAGGCCCCAGAAATCAATTCCCCGAAAGTATTGGAATAGAAATAAAAATTACAAGGAACAAGAACATCACATGATTACGCAGATCATGTTTTTAATAGTAATTAAAAATGCGAGAAAGAATAAGTCGGGCTAATTACAATTAATTATACTTTATGTTAGACAAGAATCAAATCGTGAGAATGAGGCAATTTCTATGAATAGGTGAAAAATTAAAAATGCCATACTTCCCAAGCTATATAGTACAAATAATTATTACTTCAGGCTATATATAATAGCATCTTCAATAATTTTCACAAAGACATATGAAGAATCCATATATAAGATTGTTAATTCCTATCCATTTTATAAATCTGATAGCATACACTGAGATTTGCATGATATTGCATCATATTATGATCCGCTGAAATGCTGTTTTAATTTGCAAATAGGGTGGTATCAATCAAAGATTGAAAATTACAAGAAAAAAGAACATCGCATGATTATGCAGGTTATACTTTTTTTAATAGTAAATAAAATGCGAAAAAGAAGTGAAAAATTAAGAAGGGCGTAAGCCTAATTATAATTTCCTCAAATTTAATTTTACTTTATGTTCGACAAAAATCAAATAGTGAAAATGAGGCAGTTTCTATGAATGGGTGAAAAATTTAAAATACCATATTTCCAAAGCTATATAGTACATATGAACACTTCAGACTTCGGATAATAGTATCTTCAATAATTTTCACAGAGACATACATCTATAAAATGGTGATTTCCTATCCATTTTATGAATCTGATGGCATACACTGAGATTTGAGCGTCACTGCATCACATTATAAACCGCTAATAAATGTTGTTTTAGTTTGCGATCAAATAAATGTGGGGAACACTGTTTCATACTCTGTGGAATACTTTGCCATACATTAATACCTTCCAGCTTGAGCGATTTCTTCATGCCTGAAGATTGATATCGCGGGGTGAAATACAATTTATTTGATGTACTCCTGGTCTCATACGGATGGATATTTGAAATTTTGACAAAAAAGTTTTGACAATACTCTGGCAGCAGCACATTTTCATAACGATACTTATGTAAAGTTCTTTCAATTGAAGAAATCCACAATGATGATACAGCTTTGCATTATTTATACGTATTTGTCTAGATGACTCTCGGTACATCATACATCTAATCATCTTATTTTGTAAAACGGCAAGTGGTCTTAAAGTGGTTTTTGTCGCGTTACCCCAACATAGTATACCATATCGAAGATGTGAAAAGGCCAGGCTATTATAAACTATTTTAAGGGTTTCAAGATTTACAAATCTCCTTAATTTATAAAGCATTCCAAGTGATTGAGAAAGTTTTTTTGAAAGGTAATCCATGTGATTTTTCCAATTAAGTTTTTCATCCAAAACTATTCCCAAATATTTTATAGTACTTGTTCTTTCTAAGCTAATTGTGCCAACTTCTAATTTAAAGTTTTCAAACCTTATATTTTTCCCAGACCCAATAACCATGAATTTTGTTTTTGAATAGTTAAGCGACAATTTATTTAGTTTTAACCAATGGTCAATTTGCTTTATTTTCAAATTCATGTTGGAGATCTACAATATTTGTGGCAGAGTCAAGCAGAGCTGTATCATCAGCGAATAGTGTGGTATCCAACGCACTGGTAGTAGGAAGGTCATTGATGTAGGGGACCAAGAGTGCTACCTTGTGGGACTCCACAAGATACATATTGAAGGGAAGATTTGTAACCATTCGATTCAATGAATTGTTGATGCTTCGTTAAATAAGATCGAATTAGATTAAGTGGCAATCCACGTATGCCATAATGGGACAATTTGTATAATAAAATAGTGTGGTCAATCGTATCGAATGCCTTTGCCAAATCTAGGAAAATAGCACAAGTTACTTTATTATCTGATAAATTATTCAATATTGATTCTTTTAGTTTGACTACAGCAAGCTCTGTAGAATGTGCATTTCGGAAACCAAATTGGGAGTTACTGATAATTTCATTAGTATCAAAAAAGTTTATCAGTCTTTTATACAAGGCTTTTTCAATGACTTTTGCAAATTCAGATAGTAATGATATTGGACGATAATTATTCATGTCATCCCTTTTACCCTTTTTATACAATGGAACAACTTTGGCAAGTTTCAGAATATCTGGGAAAATACCTACCCTGAAGCTAGCATTGATCAAATTTGTTAAGACAGGTGCTATGACAAACTTAGCTATTTTTATAAGTTTGATGGGAATATTGTCAGAGCCTGATGATTTTTTTTCATCCAACTCATTCAAAAGATTTACAATTTCACATTCAGTAACAGCTGTTAGATAAAAAGATCCATTTTTGCTAGGACCAAGCTTGTGTTGAGAGTCTCTAATAGTAGTGTTAATTTTCACAGCAAGATATTCCCTACATCTGCAAAATGTTTGTTTAGGGCATCACAAATCATATTATGGTCCTTAATTTTAGAGCTATCAAAATTTAGACATGTTGGCATGTCATTTGACTTAGATTTTCTGTCAATTATTTGTCGAATTTGTTTCCAAGTTTTGGATATATTCTTCTGGCATGACCTGAAACAATCCTTATGGTAATTTTCATAGGCTAATGAAAGCAGCTTCCGAAGCTTGTCTCTATATCTTTTATATTGTCCAAATCTTACTTCATTTCTACGCTTACAGAATTTTTGAAATAGCTTATTTTTGGTCTTAATAGATTTATATAGTCCCACGGTTATCCATGGTTTTAATTTCAATTTAGTACACTTCCGTGACAAAGTTTTCATAGGGGCATGTTGCTCAATTACAGATTTAATCGAGGATACAAAGACAGAAAATTTTGAATTTATATCTGAAACAGAATCAGTTTTCTGTTTCAGCAACAAGCCCAAATGTTCAATGTAATTTTCTTGATTAAATTAAATTTTTTTCTTAATTAAAAAATGAAAACTCTGTGCAGGATTTTTATTTTATGTCTCATGCAATCAAGATTGATTTGTATAAGTAAAGGAAAATGGTCTGATATGTCATAAGTAATAATGCTAGTTTTCACATGATATTTCACATTGTTATAATACAAATGATCAAGGATAGTAGAGGTACTCTTATATATTCTTGTGGGCTTATTGATTGCACATAGAAAACCAGCACTATGAATGTCATCAATATATCTATGTATTTTGCTATCTATATCATACTTGAGGATATCAATATTGAAGTCCCCCGCAATGGTATATCACAAGAGGTAATGTTGGTTAGATTTTCAACAAATTTGGTTTGAAACTCAAATATATTATATGACGGGTGTCTATATACCACACCTATTACAAAGCTCTTTTTTGGAAGCTTATAACATTTTAGTTTAATTTCTACCCACAGATTTTCACAGTCATTCAATTGGAATTGTAGGTCAGAGCGTTCTACAGCAGTCAACGTATTTATCACATAAAGTCCCACTCCACCAGCTTTTGTGGAAGAATCAGAATGGAAAAAAGAGTACCCAGTTATTGAGACATCATGATTCAGTCCCCCCAATTTGGTTTCCGAGATAGCAATAACTTCTGGTAAATTAGATCCTTCATGGAGGATAAATTCAATTTGAGATTTGTTACGATACAAACTTCTCACATTTAAATGTAGCATAACAAAGGAAGATTTTGATTTATTCCTCAGATGCTCTATGGCGTCAGATGCACTTATATAGTTACTACCAGTATTCCAATCTGTTACATCAGATAATACTGCAGTTTTGTCATTAATATCAGAAAGGATGTTGCAGTCATACGGCGTGGACAAATTTTCTTCTATACATACTTTGCAATAAAAGGGATATTCATGTTTCTAGTTTGATATGAGGTCAGCTGTGAGCATTCAAAGTGACTCCAGTAGCGACAAATTTGACAGTGAATGCTATCCAAATAACCAGAACAATCTTTGTTACAAAATTTGCACTCTGTCATAATTTTGGTTAAAGGCATCTAATTATAGATTGGTGTACTGCCATATTTCACTTTACAAATGGAGCCTCACATGAAAATATTACCATAAATAAGGGCACGGAGAGCATTAACGAATTTTGTCAAGGTCTTTCCCATTTGTTATTTTTAAAGCCCTAGCTTTCATTCTTTCTCACAAAAATATTACAATGATAGGTCCATGCATACTTGTAGTTTCTCTCTTTTTTAAGTTGACGCGTTTGTTTAAATAGTTGCTGATGGTACTCAGTTAAATTTTCGGTAATGAAAATTTCATTACCTTGCTTTTCCTTCGAAAGATTGGCCTTATTCTTATAGATCTCATCTCGCTTGTTCATTCGGCAAAAACGAACTATTATTCCCGGTGTATATGAATCTGAAGTTGTTGCTAGTCTGTGGGCTGCTGAAATATCTGTATCACAAAGTTGAACATTGATTTTCTTGGCAATATTTTTCTTTATCAGGAATGGATCTTCATTTGGTGTTATAGGAATCCCATTCAGGATAAGATTCAGCCGCCGATCATATTGTTCTAGATCATTTTGCTTGCTTTCGATTTTATTTAGGTGTTTCGTTAATGATTGTATTTCCTTTTTTAGGCAGATGCAGAGTTCGTCAGTATCTCTCAGATTCATTTGCAGCTGTTTGATTTTTAGATTAGATTCATCAAAATCTTTGGTGATGGTGGATTGGCATAATTTAAGGTCTACTATATCAGTTTTTATATTTTCATGGACTGTTTCTATCTTTTGCATTCTATTGGTGATTGAGTCTATTTTTTCCACAAGCTCACTGATAGCTGAGCAATTTTCTTTTGCAAGTTGATCTAGTTTTTGATTTTGAGCACTGAATAGGTTTTCTAGAGTTTTGTTTATTTCTTCCCTCATGGCCGAAATTATGTTACTCTGGTGGTATTTTAAAAGCATTTCCATATCTAAAGTTCTAATTTTCAGTTTTTGCTCTCCACCGGTACAGGTACCGGTACCCAGGCTACCAGTGTCTTCTGGTGAAGGCAAAGAAGTCATGAGAGTGTTTTCCCGAATATAGTTGCTGTAAGAGTAGTCTAGATGTTCTGAAAGACTTTCTTCAAAGACGATATCACTGGAATCAAGAACATTGACAGCATCATCTTGTTGGAGGGGGGGGGGGGGGCATGGCTCACCAAGAGGGCCACAGAGCAGTTGGAGGGGGGCCACCATGCCAGGCACAAAACTGATTTTACTTTTCACTTGACAAGAAAATCTCCTTGTTCTTCCAAGTTTCATTATCTGATAAGGTTATTTCACAGGGTGTTTCACTTTGTTGAACATTAATTGTTTGAACATAATGGGATAGGAAATCTACCTTTCAAAATAACACTCTAAATCCAACTGGAATAATAAACATGAGCGCCATGACTGCTAAAAGCTCACGAAAGGGGGCCACACGATATAAAAGGTTTGGGACCACCGCTTTAAAGGATTCAACATTTACAATTCCAGGTAACTAGATATCTAGGCATATCTGTGAAACACGAGAATTGTAGCTGTACTTCATGTTGACAAAATTTCTTACTATTTTGACAAAATTAGTCATTTTCGACATTTGAGTACAAAAAATAACGAATTTCCTATTTTTCATTTTATTTTCAGTAGTTTTAATTTGGGGCTCCCGAAGTATGCGAACCAAGATGCCGTCATCGGAATGTAATATGTGTACTAGGTTAGGGTTAGGCCATAATTTTAGGTATAAATACTACGGGAGGCTCTTGGCTAGTCTTCGAACTGATAATAGGACTAAAATAAGGAAAATTGGAAAAAAATTATCGCCTAACCCTAACCTGTTACCCATGTTACGTTCCGATGTCCGCCATCTTGGTTCGCATACTTCGGGAGCACCTTTAATTTTAATCTTGACTCATTACTTTTAAAATTTGGGCTCTGGCTTTCAAGATTTGAGATTATTAACTTGAGGAAACAGGAGGTTTAGTATTGCCTGCCAAAACTTATCGTCAATTTTCATTTAAATCAATTTCATTTTAAGGACTTCAATGCCAACAAGGCTCTATATTAGGTACTCCCGAAGTATGTGAACCAAGATAGCAGACACCGGAATGTAGTATGTGTACCAAGTTAGGCCATAATTTCAGGTACAAATACTATCTATGGGAGTCATTTGGCTAGTCCCCTAACTTGTATTAGAACTAAAATAAGGAAAATTGGAATAGAGTTATGACCTAAAGCTAACCTGGTACATATACTACCAGAGTGTCCTACCCGGGTGTCCGCCATTTGGTTCCCATACTTTGGGAGTACCCTATATTTTAACTAAAGAAATATTAAATGTGAATTTAGCACTGATGGAAAACGAAACATATGGAATTCTATGGAAACACTAAAAGGCTGCAATGTTGATAAAACGATCATCTATGATAGATTGAAAATACAAGAAAAAGGAAATGAAAAAAAAGATATGTTCCCTCCCCCTCTGAACCCAAATATTGGTTCTGTAGCCCAGTCCAACATTGCACCAGGTAGGTTGAAATAGAATTTGTGTATCCTTTAAGAGAGGAAAATTGATGATATGTAAATTAGTATTTATTGTTGCAAAACACACACCAAATTCTATATAGTCTTCGCATGTTAGTGCCTGCCTGTAATGTAACTTTGCTTAAATGTGGGTCTCTTTTTGATTACAGAATAAACACAACGTCTTAATTTTAGATAGTTCAGTAGCTCTTGACAATTAAGTGGCCGCCATTTATTTTTCTTAGAGATAAGTTTTTTTACTTTTTGAGTGAATGCACCAAATTAATCTCATATAGTTTTAATAGTTAATGGCATTTACGTGGGGACTATCCGAATGGAGTTTTTTTTTACTTTTTGGGTGAATGTACCACTTCAACTCCATATAGTTTCAATAGTTCTTTGTGGATGGCCATACAGGGTTGTCCAAAACGAATCGAATATTCGAATGTATTCGAATATCAAGGTATTCGAATACCTTTTCGGCTGATTTTCGAATAATTCTGAATAGTAGCTCCTTTTCGCCGTAAACGTGGTGTTTTGTTTTACGGGAATCTTTAAACGACTTTTTAAATCGGCACTTTGATTGTTTATATTCTGTGTGACCATACCTCGCATAGTGTTGCGACACATTTACACGTTTGCGTGGGTGGACAATGCTGACATTCGTGTACGAGGCTTTAAATTTACAAATTCATTTCCATTACGTCGAAAAATTGAGAAAATATGTTTCTTTTATTTCTATGTGGCCTGCTTATTATTCGCATGAGTCTTCTCAAGCATGATTTGTGTAACCTTATATTTGGGTCTTAGGGTCAATCATGATATTTAATCGCAGGCTGGTTATCGTTACTTTAAAGAGAAACACGGCCACCAAGATAAAGTGATTTGTGACCCTTTCGTTTTGCCGATTCAGCAAAGCACGACAGGGACAGGAAAACACAGCTGTGAAATAACCCGTGGACGTACAGTGTAGTACCTATCGCATTCCAAAATTATTTCAACATTCGGGTTAATAGGTTGTCCAAAATGATTGCCGCTTTACAACTTAAATTTACCGCTCAATTGTTAAAAATAGTTAATTCTGTGAGTATGATTCTACCAAACTAACATGATCTGGTTCTAAACATATAAAATTATTAACGAATTTTTCTACCCGTCTTATTGGAGGCCTATATGGAAAAACCCCTTTTTTGAGTGCTAAAAATAGACATCGTCCTATTTGCCATGTGGACTTATTAGCCGGGAAATACGGTATTTGTAGCCGTAATTGTTACGATATCCAATAAATTGTCACAAGTTGGAAAAACAAGTCGATTTATTAGAAAATAATTTCTGGCAAATAATTCTGATAACGATAGTTAAAAGTATCGATCCTTTCCAGGATGATTTTTTGTTGCGCAAAATAATCCAATCCATGACTGGTACCAGCATTTAAAATGTCATGCCGTATTAATTTAATTCTGTTCAACGTAACTCATGGTTGTATCGACAATCTGTGGACATAAAATGTGTAGTAAACTGACCGATATTATTAAATATTGATTCCTAATTTTATATTGATGAAATAATGAAAGTATTAATGCCAAATACAACGGGTATTTGTGGACATGAAATACGTGGTGGACTGCCCAATTATAATTAATTTCGGATTCATGTTTACAAAATAATAAAACTAATAATTCTGAAATGCAACGGCGATCTGTGGCCTTAAAATGTGTGGTAAACTGCCCGATTTACCAACATTTGAGTTATGATAACAGAATTAAATTTACACGGTAAGGCATTTTAAGTAGTGGTATCGGTCATGGATTCGAATATTTTGCGCAGCACAAAATCATCCTAGTAAAAAGTCCATACTTTTAAATACAAACCAATGGCAACCATTATACAAATTAGTTTCCAAGAGCGGGATAAAATATAAATTCTTTTTCCGACTTGTGACAATTTTTCGTGAGTTCGAAAATAAGAATCAAAACTAATTATATTCGGCACAATATCACGGCAATCTGTGGACATAAATTGTGTGGCAAACTCGCGATTAATACTAATTTTTGATTCCTATTTTCGTATTTACAAAATACAACGGCGATCTGTGGCCTTACAATGTGTGGTAAACTACCCGATTATAAATAGTTTTTGATTCCTATTTTCATATTTATGAAATAATAAAAGTATTATTACTCAAACATACAACGGCGATCTGCGGACTTAAAATGTGTGGTAAAGTTCCCAAATATAATTAATTTTTGATTCGTGTTTTTGTACTCACGAAAAAATTGTCACAAGTCGGAAAAATACCTCATACTTTATCCCGCTTTTCGACAAATACCGTAATTTGGATAATGGTTGGTATTTAAAAGTATGGGCGATTTACTAGGGTGATTTTGTGTTGCGCAAATATTCAAATCCATCATCGATACCACTATTGTCGTATTAATTTAATTCTGTTAACATGACTCATGGTATATAAAATATATACTGCAATAATCTGCAAATATGAAATACCTGGTAATATAGCTAGGTTGTAACTTGTAGATAGCAGTTATTCCATTGCTTATTGTATGGAAATTCCTACATACATTTAGATAAGCTTCAATTAGTGGATTTTTTTTTCGAAGTATTCGAAATTTCATATTCGAAAAAAATAATTTCGAATGTATTCGAAATAGTGAACTATTCGGTACTGGCCATACCCTATCAGCTTTCTTCCCCATAATTTCTTTATTATAATAGCTATGTTTTTTACACAGGCATCCGTGGTTATCTGGAAAGGTACGAGACATACTTTGATATACCAATCTACAAGAGATGTCCTTCTCTACATTTGGAGCAATTGGCCAGGATTGGTTTCAAATTCATTAAACCAGACCCCGGGCAGGCAGGACGCATTATATGCACAGAGTAAGAATTCTATTTTTGTTCCGCAAAAAGTAAAATTAAATATATTCCACCATATTTCATTAATAACAGAATAGGGAGTACATGGGCCTGATTCACCATTAGGACTTTGCTTAATGGCAGTGGCTCTTAAAAAGTGCATCAAAATTTTATATGAGTTGCGTATTATCAGTCTTTTTCTCAAAAAAGTCTTCATAAATGCGTCCATCACGGATTTGACATAACTAAAATTAGACATATTTCTGCTAATAATTTGAAACTTTATTTTAAAAACACTATTTTAATCAATGAGATAGTTTATTCACATTGCTGGTTATCAGTCCATAGTTTCGAAAACAAATAACTAACTAACTCCATACCTGACACGGACTGGTAACCGGACAAGAGGCGTGGTTCACCATATGATTAAAACATCACATCAGCTTTCTTTTCTCCCAGAATAATTATATGAATCCTATTCTGGTTGGGCAAGAGAATGAGATCAGTTAAATAATTTAGAGATTTGTGATGCTTTGATTTTCTTTTATTACAGTTGTGGAAAACTACATTCATTCACAGACATTATACGCAGATCTCCAAAAAACTTCGTTTGGCATGAAAATGGTTGCTCGTTCGAGAACAAACGTTTTCCTTGTGATCATTGTGAGAACTTAAACGTGCACGAACAAGATTGGGAATGGTGCAACAAGTGTGGACAAGATATCCTACCGGTAGGTCTATATTGAAGAGATGATAGGATTTCATATTCATCCCGCTGGGGAGAAAAACTTATAATATTAGTTAATCATATGGTGAACCCCGGCTTTCAGTTTGGTTACCAGTCCCTGTCGAGAATAGTTTTTTCAGGTGCATGTTCTTAATAAAACATTAAGCTGTAACTGACCCACTTTTCCCAAGTATGAAAAGATGGCCAGTTTAGCAATGTCGGATAGGCTTTCTCTGAACACCCCCACCAGGCCGCCCGTTTTTTAAATAACAAATAAGTACGGTAATTATCCATATTAAGATCTCTACATGTGTCGGGTCATCTGAGTCTCAATGACTCATGTAGCAATTTTGTCATGGACTCGAGTGCTGTAAATGAAATAACTCAGACTCATCAACTAACTGCCTGTGAGACTTAACTTAGTGATCGAATCAGATGACCTGTAACCCGATTGACACACAACTATGGGAGTTCTAGTCAATACTGATAAATAATGCCAAACCTGATGAAACCTTTTCGAGAGATAATAACTTTTAATTACATGTGTCATTACATGTATACGCTTTTCTTGGTACTCCCATAGTATGTGAACCAAGATGTCGAACACCGGAACGTAGTATGTGTATCAGGTTAGGCCTTAATTTCAGGTGCTAATACTACAAGAGTAAATAATAGACTTAAAATAAGGAAAATTGGAATAAAATTATAGCCTAACCTGGTATACATACTATATTCAGGTATCCGCTATCGTGTTGCGCATACTATGGAAGTGCCCTTTCTTAATAGGAAAGATGTGAAAATTCCACAGGGAAAAAATTACAGATAATTATTAAATCCTATGGAGGTCGTCCATCCGTTCTTGACATTTCTATAAAAATTTATTTCCAGGTCAAAGCTTTCTCAGAATTGGAGCAACATCTTCAAATGATCCCTGAGCAGCAAGCGCAACAAAACCACGCCTTCATATCTTGCTTGGTTTGCAACCAGGATGTTGATTCACGACAGAATGTAGATACCTGCACTGTATGCGGCGGTCCTTTATGCATCTGCTACGGTTACCACAACCATTAGGAAGGATATGCCTCGTAATTGTAAATAAGCATACCTCCGCTATAAAACTGAAATAATCACATTTTTCAAAAAGAGACTCTTTTTTCAATATTCTGTCATTATAGAACAGGGCCGCACATCTTTTGGTCTGGGTTTCAATGCTATACCTTATTTCGTTTTGATTTTTGGTAGTGCCTTATGTCCGTTTTTAGTTTTGCTGTACATTTCTGAAAATTACAAAAATGTGATTCCATCTAAACTTTAAAATGTGACATAAGCTGGTCTGGTTTCACTACTTCAAAGACATAGAGAGAGAGAAATTAAATTGAACGTCAGTCACACACGCTCACTCAGAAATAAAGACAGATTTCTGATCGACGTTACGGATGATCGACAAAGTTGAATTGAGACTATAATGAGTTAAAACAGGAAAAGCTATGTATAGATATGAGTGAATGCGTGTGACCTTGTAAGCAAATTTTCCCAGGAAAAAATCTTCAAAACTTTCTAATCAGAGAGTTAATCCTATAAATTTTTACCCCATGGATGGAATAATGTCATTTTGAACTATGTGCTTCTTATTTTTTTGCTATTATTCTTGCTAGTTACTGTGTATATCTTGCTTTGCTTCAAGCTCGTATATTCGCATATAATGCTATTATTTTTATGCATGTTTTGCATTGGTGCTCACATTTATTTTCAATTTGCCTTCTTTTAGAACAAACAGAGGTTCTCAAACTTACATGATCTGTACCCCTTCTCTTCTACTGAAATATCCTGTGAAGGCCTTCCCCCAGGCTCCCCTAGGACTATACCCTCCATGGCTTTCTCGGTAAGCGGAGGGCCCAGTTTGAGACGATTCTAAAACTTGGTATTTTGTGATTATATATGATAGTTTGTCATAAGAAACCTTTATGTGATGTAGTACAAATCGTATCAATATTTTATGTAGCATGGTGCATGGTGTTTTATGCATGGTACTTTCTATTCTATCTCTATAAAACTTGTTATCTGGGGAAACACGGTAGTTAGGTCCAGCGCTCCAACTGCTTGTGAATTGATAAAAATATGTGCTGTCTGATAATTACATATTTATTTTGAACACAGTACTAGAAAAACATTGTAATGTTTCAAAACCTCTGCATGAGCAGGACAACAAAATACAAAGTGTTCCATTGTAATCCATGTCAAACATTTCAGCAAGTGTTTCATTTACCACTGTAAAAAATTTCAAAGTTCATTTTTTAGTATAGGCCAAAATTTTCCGTAAACAGGCCAAAGCAAATTTGATTTATACACATGCAATTTTTTAGAAAATCAAAAACATGCAATTAGTATGATATGCATTTTAATATTTTTATAATTCGTCATGTTTTGTATTTTTTCAAGCCTGTAGCAGAAAATAAAAATGCAATTTGAGGGCTCCCGAAGTAAGCGTCCCAAGATGGCGGACACCGGAACGTAGCATGTGTACCAAGTTAGGGTTAGGCCATAATTTTAGGTACAAATTCGACGGGAGTTATTCGGCTAGTCCCCGAACTCGTAGTAGAACTAAAATAAGGAAACTTGGAATAAAATTATGGCCTTACCCTAACCTGGCACACATATTACGTTCCGGTGTCCGCCATCTTGGTACGCATACTTCAGGAGTACCGAAATTTGTGTAGTCAAAGTCAAAAGCTGTAATGTAGTTATAGTTCTTAAAGCTGTTCTCTCTTAAACCACTTTATAATACGAATACTAGTTTGGACTCGTTGAATGAAACTAAAACCATTTTGTATATGCAATTATTCCTTTTAGTTTTTAAAATGAAATTTGATTCCTATTGCTCACACATCCATCTGTACCGAATTTCACGTTCTATTTCCATACCTGACATAGTGTGGGGTAAAGTAGGTATGTGGTAACAGGATAATAATCCTCGTTTACAATGTTCTTTCTTCCATTGTTCTGTCATAATTTATTGCGAAGCTTAATTTATATGATAATTATTTAAAGTCATGTGCACCGGTTTATTCAAGAAATTGTTTGTGTTGGTGCTCTCTTGTTGTTCGAAGCAACATTTTAGGCCTAATTTGAATATATTTCACCTTTTTGCCTGTGTTTTAAATAGATGTGCCATAATTGAATGGAGAGTTTTTATTACAAATGGGCGGGTTGAGCAGTATGTGCAAGTATGAATGGTGTGGCTTTTTCATGGCCCTCTTTGTTTAATCCAGAGTATTGACACGATAATTTTAGTCTAGAAACAAACTCATTTGGACATTTTCTAAGCCCTCTTGGTGTCTGGGTGATTTGTTTCATTTCAGACAACTCATTTTATATGAAAAATTATGCTATATCATTTTTAAAACCGAGGAAAAGATATTTGATAGGAATATATATTATAGCAAATCAACATTGCAAACACATTGGATGCAGAAGCTCAGGTAAAATTTATTTTTAATTTCAGACCCTCTCACTCTGGACAGGCAGTTAATGCTACCCACCGAGAAGTCGAAATGTACACTTGGGGGTATATGTACTGCAGTTTGGGAGCCCCCGAGGTATTCAATGGCTTCTAGCTGTCTAGGTTGGTTGGTGAAGAAAATTGCCACTGACCAGCGAAGGATAGGCGTTCTACCCTGCAATCATATCTCACGCGGAATTTGACCAAATTAGCCGTCGGTGCCGAATAGCGTATAACACTAACAACCCTGAATCAATTGATTTTGCCAAATGTTTAAAAATCACAGAATTCGATACCGGTGCGATGAAAAGAACTTTCCTAACGAAAAACGACCCGCCTGAGGTTTTGCGCATCTTAAATCGCCCCAAGCAATTCAATTTCCGGGGCTATCAAGCTCGTTCGACAACATGCCTGAATTGGGCCTTCTGCTGCAGCTATTTACTTTAGCCATTTTTAACGTAAATAAAAATCCGAACGTGACAGCAAAACACATCACGTAAGGTAAAAAAAGGAATCAATGTGGAGACGGTGTTGCGCTGCCGCGAACTTCTATTTGGCAACGTTTGTCGTTGGAGGGTTCGACTCGACTGTTTTCAGTAACTCAATACCAGATTGTCGATGCAAACAATGCGATTTTCAACGTCTGGCACGAATTTCTTGGATTCTAACTCCTGAAATAAAGAAAACTCAGAAAGCCTACAGGTAGGGTTGCCATTCGTCCTTTATTTTAAAGGACAATCCTTTATTTGAGATTTTTGTCCTTGTCCTTTTTAATTTTTTCCAACGTCGTTTTGCGCGATAGTTATAGAACTGTGTTTGATATTGTTCCGTTCTTTAATCGCCTTCGCCATGTATTTGCAAGCTTTTAATTATTCTTTTTAATTTTGCTTTGGCCCGGCTCAAATAGTCAAAGAAATACCAATTTTTTTTAACATTTCAAATATTTTACGTTAATTTTCCGAAGATGGCAAGTAGCAACACTCATAGAGGCGTCGAAAAAAGAAGAACAAATTTCGATTAATTTCAAATTATTTCTTGCGGAAGTAACTGATATAAATGAGTTTAATTAATAAACAAATGTATGGAGGAATATTTCTCAGTTTAGTTTCAGCTAAATGTAATTAAAGTAAAATTGTCTTTTAATTAAAATTAAATTTACGTTTATTGTTTTAGTAATAACTTCATTAATTAAATGCTTTGTTTAGTATTTCAATATTAATTTTTTAATGAAAATCATGGAACCCCCAATAAAGACAAAGAAGCGCGTGTGTTCATTTGATAAAGACTGGAAAAATGTATCACTTGTGAAAGTGTTTTTACTGTTGCATACATGGGTGCTTTAGCAGTAGCACAACGTGCAAAATCAGCCTGTCACAAAATTAGAACCATGGATTTTGCTTCATTTTCTGTAATGGATAAATTTTTGGTGAAAAAAATTCAGAAAAAGAGGATATTGTAGTTGCTTTAGAAATAGCTCAAATATATCACGTAATTAAACATAGTCATTCATATAACTCGCTGGATTGCGGATTGAAATTGAATTCGAAAATTCACAAGGATCAGAAGTTGCTACCAAAATATCTAATGGTCGAACCAAATACGAGGCAATCGTCACAAATGTGCTAGGTGAGAAGGCATTAGCAGTGATTATGGAAGATTTGAAACAACATGATCCTCTGTTAAATTTGGCATTCAAATTGATGCTTCAAATCACAAAAACATGGAAATGTTTCTAGTCTGTGTTCAGTATTTTAGCTTGGAACACGGCACAGTTACTTGTATTATTGATTTCTTCGAGAATGCAGATGAAAGTACGGATGGAATGTTTACTTGTTTGAAAAACTCTAGTGAGAATTTACAACTTGACTGGAAAAGGGTTTCTTGTTTTAAGTGCAGATAAAGCAAATTGCAACTTTGGAGGAAAACATTTTCTTTATACTAATGTTCGCACACTAAATGATGGTATTTTTAGGGCTAACATTGTTTAATATTGTTCTTTCCTGCAAGTTACAAAATAAATGATGACGGTAATCTATGTCCTTTATTGAGACTTTTCATAGTTGGCAACCCTACCTACAGACTATAAACATAGGTGAATGCTTTTTAATATAAGCCGTCTGTCTGCTTGAATATACCTTGGCTTATTCCCGTAAATACAATTACATAATGCTGAATAACATTTTACTGCATTTCTGATGGACTGCAGATATGTCTTGCAAATGTTAGGCTCCGCTCGGGTTTGCCCTAAATACAGTACTCTTCCCAGCCATTATAATACCAGATTACCCCAGAACAGAAATAAAACGCAGCTGATTTGCTGGTCTTAAGTATCTGCTTATCCTAACCGCTAAGACAAAATATAATCGAGGCAACACCGGGTTGATAAATAAGTATTTACCAGGTTCCATGGTGCCTTGGTTTGTAACTGTGATGTCAGAATACGTCCAATGGCGTTCACTTCCTTTGCGGAATCCGGATCGTCAGTTCAGGTATTTCAATAATTGCTTGATAGGCGTGTAGCAAGTATATGAAAAATACGATTATAAAATGCTGCAACTGGCTGCAATCGAGCCTCAGGTCGTGGAATTACAGCACTCGTTTCAAAACATTGTTTGTTTGTGCTCGACCGTCTGGGAGAAGTTGAGGAGCAGAGTGAGAGCAAAACGATGTTTATAATTGTGATGGCACGAATTTCTCGAAATCTCCTGAAATCTGGAAGAATCAAAATATCCAGTGACTATGAAAACATATACCAAAGGGGCGTGCTTTCTTACATAAGTAAGTTTTGTGTCTGCTTGAATATGCCGTGGTTTATTCCCGTAAATGCAATCACATAATGCATATGATACTTTTCGACAAGTTGTCGTTCTGCGGGTTGCTTTATCAGGGTTCTGTCCATTCACGGTACCTTACGGTGGTTTATATTTAATTCAAAGAAGATTTTGGAATGGATTAGTCGTGACGAGAACTGGAAAACTTTCTACGATGGGGTGCTGGAAAATTTTGGAATATTTATAGATTTCGGGAATGTAAAACGGGTTTTATGGCCGCCTGACCTTAGCTGCAGTTTACCAAGAAGTCCACTGGAAGCTGTATTTTTAAAGGTTACACTGTGAGACGCCTCTTCTACCGAACCGATAGCGAATACGTGAACAACGGCGCGAGACGAGTTGAACAATCCTCCCGCTCAAGCGTGCTAGGTACTCAGACAATCTATTACTTTACTTCCTATGGACCTTTCCTCGAGCATCGACTTCCTTGTTTACTTTGTGACATTGGCCAATCAGCAAGATGCAAAAAGTAACGTAACAATGCCCCTTTTTCGCATTCGCTCAGTCACTTTTCTCACTCAGACAGATTCGTTAGTTTTCTGTTGTGTTTCGGAAACTTAAATATATATCAGATAATTCAATGATCACTCTGT